GTGTTGGTGTTGGTGCCCATGTCCAGGCGTCCGAGTCTACTCTCCAAGGGACGGCGCGTCGCCAGGGCCGCCGCGGCAACACGCTGCGCAAACGTGCCCGACCGTAGGCGTATGCTGCTTGTTCTTCTCGCGCCGTCGCCCTCCAGCCCGCCGGCAGGACGAGGGCTCCGCGGGCGGCCCCCTTGGTGCTCGCCGGTGCTTCTCTCTCGAGGCTGCGACAGGTGGCATTGCGGTCGGGAGCTTTGGCTTGGCGTGTCGCGCCGCCTTGGCATCGCTCGGACGTGTGCATGTTTCCTCGGCGAGAACCCTCGAGGACCATCCTGGACCATCGAGCCAAGAAAAACACGCCCGAAGCCGAAAAACTGCATGGGAAATGGACGTCCGAGCGACGGCCACCACGCCTCGGCGCGACACACGGCCCACGTCCCAGTCCCCGAGTGGCACCGTCCCGAGCTGTGCACGGCCTCCCGCCCCGCGGAGCGGAGCGGCACGCCAGCTGCTTGCAAGGCATTTCGCGTGTCGCCAGAGCGCCTGCGGCGATACGGCAAGCAAGCGTTCCTGACCGTGGCGAACGTCTTGAGCATCCTCCCTCCTTCCCCGTCCCTCCTCGCCCCAGGAGGCCCCAAGAGACCCCGGGACCCACCCAAAGCGCCCTTCGAGCGTGGACCCTCAAGAGGCCCCCAGAGAGACCGCAGCAGGCCTCTCAGAGGTTTCAGAGCGACAACGAGTCCATTCTGAAAGGCATTCGAACACCGTCCTCAGGTGGCTAGGCTAGAGCGGATGCCCGCCTATTCCACGTGCGCCCAGAGTTTTGATGGGGTTTCTGTGAAGAGCTTTTGCACGGACCGCGCGTTGATCAAGTCTTGGCCAACGCCTCCAAGAATAGTGATATTGTCCTGTGTTGGTGTGCCATGGGCTCGAGCACACGTCGCACTTCACCAGAAACGGATGGCTGACACAACGACAGAGCACGAGCAAATTGTGCAGACGCGGATCCATGACCATTACAAGGGAAAGGCTGGGGACGGAGGCGAACTCGGAAAAGGAATGAGCAAGCATTGACGGACGAGGTGGATGCTCAGCAGTCGGAGGGGGCTCTGGCCGAGACCGACAACTAGGACTAGCGGTGGAGGATGGGGAGGACGACAACGACGACGGCAAGCCAGAGTATCGACGCCCCCCGCCTGGGGAGGCCATCCATCCCCCCCCCCGAACGTCGTCTCGATGAGCAGGGCGAGGAGGAGGAGGACGACGACGAGCGAGAGGCGCTACGCCCCACCCCCCTCCTGGGGAGACGATCCCTCCTCGTCCTCCTTGGCCTCCTCGTCCTCCTGCTCCTTCTCCCCCTCCTCGTCGTTTCCTTCGGCGTCGTCCTCCTCACCCTGAGTTCTGACCTTGTGCATGATCAGCGCACATGGAAGTACAGCGCTGTACGGTACTATCAGCGTCCACGCGCCTTTGGCGCCTGATTTGTGTGTGTGTGTGTGTCAGATTAAGTTGCATTCGTACAATAAGTACATACATCGAAAGCTGACCTGATGGCCCCGAGGGCCCCAAGACGGCCCCGGAGGGCCCCAAGAGGCCTCAGGATGGCCCGACAAGCGCCACCAGACGGCCACGATAGGCCCAAGATGTCCCAAGATGGGCCCAAGATGGCCACTCGACGGCCCAACGGGCACCCCAGATGGCCCTAGGGGGCTTGAAGACGATTCCCAGGAGGCCAGGAGGCGCAAATTATGTGTTGTCCGTAGCTCCAGTGCAACTTTCGCATACTAGGCTTCTCGGTCTCCAGAGCGCCCGAGACGGCCGACGAGGCCCCTGCGATCGCTCCAGGATGGCCCTGAAGGCGCCCAAGAGGGCCCCAAGACGAGCCCAGGACAGCCCATGAGGTGCCCAAGACGGCCCCAAGCCGCTCCAAGAGGGCCCCCGGAGGGCCCCAGAAGGCCCAAGAGGGACCCAAGACAGCCCAATTGGGCCCCCAGACCGCTCCACAACAGCCCCAAGAAACCCTCAAGATTGCCTTGAGGGACCAAGACGGCCCCAGAGGGCCCCGAGACGGCCCCGGAGGCCCGCCAGACAGTTTGAAAACGGCTTCGAGAGACCCCGAAGAGGGCCCACTCTCGCACAAAAAGACCACACAACAAAATTAAAACCATCATCGTAACGAAGAATCACTTGCCACCAAAACTAAACCGGAAAAGGTGTGGCCCCACACCACAACCCACCCAACCACCCACTCGGGACCCTACATTAGTACAGCGACGGTCGGATATACAGACATACATTTATATAGCGATATACATACAAACGCGCATGCACACACACACATACACACGTGTGTGTATGTATGTATGTATGTATGTATGTATGTATGTATGTATGCATGCATGCATGCATGCATGCATGCATGCATGCATGCATGTCTGTCTGTCTGTCTGTCTGTCTGTCTGTCTGTCTGTCTGTCTGTCTGTCTGTATGTATGTATGTATGTATGTATGTATGTGTGTGTATGTATGTATGTATGTGTGTCTGTAGGTATGTATGTATGTATGTATGTATGTATGAATGAATGTATGTATGCATGTATGTATGCATGTATGTATGTATGTATGTATGTATGTATGTATGTGTGTGTGTATGTATGTATGTATGTATGTATGTATGCATGTATGTATGTATGTATGTGTATATATATAGATATATACATGTGTGTTTGTGTGTTGTGTGTGTGTGTGTTTGTGTGTGTGTGTGTGTGTCTGTGTGTGTGTTTGTGTGTGTGTCTCTGTGTGTGTGTGTGCGCGCGTGTGTGTGTGTGTGTTTGTTTGTGTGTTGTTTGTGTGTGTGTTGTTTTTGTGTTTGTGTGTGTGTGTGCGTGTGTGTGTGTGTGTGTTTGCGTGTGTTTGTGTGTGTTTGTGTGTGTGTGTTTGCGTGTGCGTGTGCGTGTGTGTGTGTGTGTGTGTGTGTGTTTGTGCATGTGTGTGTGTGTGTGCGTTTGCTTGTGTGTGTGCCCTTCTCCCCCTCACCCTGGGGAGGCGAAAACCCCTGGAAGTCGTCTTCGAGGCGGGTGAGACCGCGTCTGACTGCTGGATCGTGCTGTCCGGCCAGGCGGAGGAGCGCCGCGACGGGGGACGGAGGCAGGCGAGGGGGCACCCCTTCCGCGCTCGCGGGTGGGTGGGGGGGGGGGGCAGGCGGAGAGGACGGGCGAGGAGGAGGGTGCGCTCCCAGCGAGGTGGCACCCCCTTCCGCGTCGCGGGGGGCGGGGGGGGCGGGCAGGAGGAGGGGACGGGCGAGGAGGAGGGGACGCGCTCCCTCCTCTTCCTCTCCCCTCTTCGTCCGCCCGCCCGACGTTTTCACTCTGCCGTCGGCTGCCTCCTGCCTCCACAGAGTGCCTACACCAGCCGGCAGCTCCGGGCGAAGGTCCCTGGGGAGTTAGTTGCCGGGCTCCCTGGTTCGACCGCCCCCCCGAGGCCCGACCGGCCCCGGGGGGGGGGGGGGGAGGGCAACGCTTAAGTCGAGCGTGTCTTCCCACAGGGGGATTTTGGACGAAAAAGAAAACATAGTTTCAAACAAATGCCCCCCAATCATCAAGAAATGCTCCGCAAATCGCCCCCATGGTATTTCTTAAAACTATTTTTGAATCTTCCTCCTGCAGAGGGACAGGCCCGACTTGCGGCAACGCTCGACACACATTTCTGCCTTCAGGCCTTCAGGCTTTCGCGGGGAGGCATCCGCAATCGCTGCAGCAACCCCTGAGTGGCCCCGCCGCTGCACCCCCGCCCCTTCCCTCCAGCCTCCCTCGCGTGCTCGCGTCAGGGTATGGTAGCGTACACGGTCCTCCCCCCCAGCTCCCCGCCCTCCGGAACAGCCGCACACGGCGTGTGTGGGCAGCCCGCGGCGCCCGCGGACAAGGCCTCGCTGCGGAGCCCTGCGCGCCGGCGGCAACGGGAGGAGGAGGACCACAAGAAGGGCCTCTTGCCTCGTTCGGCGTCTTGTTTGTAGAGGCAGCTCCACTGCCCGCCCGACCCGATCCCGAGCGAGCGCTCGGCCCCCTCGGGCCCCCGGCCTACAGATCCAGAATATGTATTGATTTGATTATGTGTATACATATATCTATGTAATATGTATGTATGCACAATTATATATATGTATGTATATATATATATATACATGAACAAATTGATCGATACATTTATGCGGTCCCCAGAAGTCTGGACCCTTTCCACAGGGCCAGTGTTCCATCCCGCGCCGTTCTTTGACGGTCTTGGGGCCCGGCGAGGGCCCCCGGAGGCCGGAGACAGTAGAGAACCTCACAGGGTGTGGGTCCCCAGCCTGGAGATGGACCCACTTCCCTGGGGGTAGTGCTTCGCCCCTGATCCGGACCACGGGCCGAAGTCGACCACGGGCCGAAATTTCGTGGCCCCAGAGCCCGACCACGGGCCGAAGTCGAGGAACACCGCCGGGATTACACAAAGCATAGTGTCGGAGATCTGGGGAGAGCACTCGGGCCCCTCGTGCTCCACCCTGAGGTCCGACGTCGCGAACAAAACGACACATCCTCAAAGCCACGACAGGGGCCCCAGACCCCATCCTTTCTCCGGCACTTGCCGAGCCAGCGCGATCTGCGAGGGCCCCGGGGCCGAACCCGAGCGGAAGCGCCCGGCAAGGACCCCGACGCCGGACCATGGCCAGGGCCGATCCCGACGCTGTGCCTTCTCGTGCGAGGCCATATGTCAGGAGGGAAAGAAACACACAGACACAATTAATCGTCCACTACCAGGAAAATATTGGAAAATATGGGAAGTGGGGGGGAAGACAGAAACCCAGAAAATATGGGAAAATATGGGGAATCTTTTTATTCGTGTGTATTTGTTTGTGTGTCCCAGGGCCCCTTCAATATGGCCTCACCCGCCTCGCCCCGAAGGGGCCCCCTGGCGCATGCCCGCACGGGCGTGTTACGTTCCGTGCCGTGCCGTCCCGAGGAGCTGCGGCCCGACGGCGAGGTCTGCCGCGCGGTGCGGGAGGGGGAGTGCCTGGGCGCGCCCGCGCTGGCGCTCGAGGGGTTGAGGCGCGCCTGCCCTTTTGCGCGGGCGCCCGCGCGGGGGCCTGGAGACTTGGCATCGCTCGGACGTGTGCATTTTTCCCTCGGCGAGGACCATCGAGGAGCATCCTTGATCATCTGGCGAGAAACCACGCACGAAACCGAAAAAAGCACAGGGAATGGACGTCCGAGCGATGGCCAGGCAGAGCAGTGCGTGCCCGAGGAGCGGCGCCGTGGCCACACACCGCGTGAGGAGCTGCAGAGGATCGAGGAGAGAAGGTGCCGATGCCGCCACAATGCCGTCGTTTTCCCAGAGTGGGGCCTCCTGGGAGGCCCTCGTCGCCACTGCTGGATTCGCCACGAGGTTCTGGTCTGAACGCGCCCCAGGTTGTCCGGGGAGGAGCTAGCGGTATCAGTACCTCTTGGTTCCCCCAGTTCGGGGTCACCACGCTGTTTGGGGACTTGAGTGGCTCTCCGAGGACGTAAAGGGGACCTGAGAGCAACGGGTCCTGAGGTGTTTTTTTTCCTTTTCCTACGCCTCCCAGATGGGGTCCGAGCAGATGCATGGGGTCGGAGGATCGCGCCGCATCGCCGATGCATCGGCGATGCGGCTCGATGTGGAGCCCGACTTTCTCTACGCCGACGGCGTCGGCGTATCGCCGACGTCGCCGATGTATCGTCGACGCATCGGCGACGCATCGCCGATGAATTGGCGATGCGGCGCGATCCTCCGAACCCATCTACTCGGACTCCATCCGGGAGGCCTCTAAGGAAGGAAAGGAGTCCTGAGAAAAATGCATCCTGATGTTTTCGTCGTTTTCGGGCTCCCAGTGCCCTCCCAGGGCCCCGGGAGTGTCCGAGAACCACTCCGGAGCAGCAGCGGGTCCCTTTGGAACTGTTTTCCTCAGGATCCGTTTCCTTCACGCCGAGTGTCATGAGTGTCGTCATTGGGGGACGAGCGATACAGAGGCGAGTGTCGTCACTGGGGGCGAGCGATACAGAGGTGGGATTGAGGGCTCAGGGAACGGGGCCCTGAAGAGGCTCCAACGGGGCCCCCTGGGGCCCCGAAGATGCACGGAAGGCGCACGGAAGGTGCACGGAAGGTACACGGGAGGTGCATGTGTCTTCCCTCCCCCCCCCCCGCTCATCGCCCCCCCACCAAGCAACGCCCGAGAGGTTGGGGGGGGGATCGGCATTCACACGTTCCCCAATGTGATCGGAGCTGTTTCTCCCAGGCAGCCCAGAGTGCCCAGATGAATGTTTCCAGCTCGGCGTTGCTCCTAGCATTCGATCCCCCGGGGGCTGTTTTCACGCCCCAGGGCCATCCAGGATGGATTTGGGGTCGAAACTTTCGCCCCGGGTGAGTGGCCCACCTTCTAGGGAGCAGCCTCTTCCTAAGAGGCCTCCCCCTCTCCCCCTACCCCCTCGTGCGCGCCGCCAGTGTTCTACAGTCGAAAACCCTAATAAGGACGCACGACTTTGCTCAGGGTACCCTTGCGTCCTTGCTCAGGGTACCACTGCGTCCTTGGGGTTTTCGTCGTCCGCCGCCCCGAAAATCCCTACTTCGGCTTCCAAGGGTCTTGCGTCCTTACCGCACGTCCTTATCAGGGTTTTTGACTGTACACTGGCAGAGCCAAGTTGGCTGCGCTGGATTATGTGAACGCTGTTATATTCGGCGTCTCGACACTGGGCGGAAGGGGGGGGGGAGGGGGGCTCTGGCTCCGGACCTCTGCCCAACGCGACTGTTTGCGACAGTGCGTGCTATGGGGGAGCCTCCACCTGCTCGAGGAGGAGAAGGAGGAGGAGGAGGAGGAGGAGGAGGAGGAGGAGGAGGAGGAGGAGGAGGAGGAGGAGCAGGCGCCGAAAACAGCCAAGATCTGCTCCATGGGGGGGCGAGTGAGGGGGGGGGGGGTGCGACGAGGGCCCTCGCCGACCGGCAAAACAGTGAATGAGAAAACGGTCGCATCAGTCTACGCCCGACCCCCATGTTTTCGGAAGTTTTCTCCAGGCATCCCTAGGGAGGTGCTCAAGGAGTCCACTTCACTTTCGTCGGCGGAAGGCCCCGGCGGAAGCCGGCGGAAGCAAGACGAGGTTGGCTCCGCCAGGTAGTCGTTTTCTGATTCATTGTTTTGCCGAGCGGCGCGGGCCATCGCACCCCCCCCTCCCCCCCCGCGTGGAGTAGATCTTGCGTGTTTCTGGCGCGGCAGGTGGAGTCTCCCCCATAGGATGCATTGTTTCAAACAGTCGCATTCAGCAGAGGTCCGGAGCCAGCCCCCTTCCGCCCAATGTCGAAATGCCGAATAAGAAATTGTGCACAAGGCTGACGGAAGCCGGCGGAAGCCAGCGGAAGTAACAAATGCACTCCCGATATCTGTGCGTTGGATTCAGGTCATCCTGTGGTGTTGGGTCCTCGTTTTGGAAAGACAGCGCCCCGCGTTCCTCCACCTCTTTCCCCTCCTATGCCCCCTCCTCCTCCTCCTCCTCCTCCTCCTCCTCCTCCTCCTCCTCCTCCTCTTCATCTTCCCATCCCTTGCCTCTGCTCTACGCGTGACCATCCCACTCTGGCACACCCCTCACACGGTTTGTGGTCCCATAGGGAGCTCCACAGAAGGCCCCAGTGGCAGGGTCCGCGTGCGTCCGCCCGCCCATTTCGGCACACCCCTCACGAGGATCGTGGCCCCATAGGGAGCTCCACCGAAGGCCCCCGCGGCAGGGTCCGCATGCGTCTCCCAGCCCATTTCGGCACACCCCTCACGAGGATCTTGGCCCCATAGGGAGCTCCACCGAAGGCCCCAAGGGCAGGGTCCGCATGCGCCCCCCCGCCCATTTCGGCAGACCCCTCACGAGGATCGTGGCACCATTGGAAGCACTACCAAAGGCCCCAGCGGCAGGGTCCGAATGCGTCCCCCCGCCCATTTCGGCACACCCCTCACGAGGATCGTGCCCCCATAGGGAGCTCCACTGAAGGCCCCGGCGGCAGGGTCCGCATGCGTCCCCCCGCCCATTTCGGCACACCCCCACGAGGTTCGTGGCCTCGTAGGGAGCTCCACTGAAGACCCCAGCGACAGGGTCCGCATGCGTCCCCCCGCCCATTTCGGTACACCCCTCACGAGGATCGTGCCCCCATAGGGAGCTCCACTGAAGGCCCCAGCGGCAGGGTTCGCATGCGTCCCACCGCCCATTTCGGCACACTCCTCACGAGGATCGTGGCCCCATAGGGAGCTCCACCGAAGGCTCCCGCGGCAGGGTCCGCAAGTGCCCCCACGCCCATGTCGACACATTCCTCACGAGGGTCGTGGCCCCTTAGGGAGCTCCACCGAGAGCGGTACCTACAACGCGGTACTCACAAGTGCATTTGGTTGGGTCTTTCGCCAGGATAATTTTGGACTTGGCCAAATTGGGGTCCGAGTGGACGGGTCGGAAGATCGCGCCGCGTCGCCGATGCATCGGCGATGCGGCCCGATGCGGGGCCCGATTTTCTCCACGCCGATGGCGCTGGTGCATTGCCGACGTTGCCGATGCATCGGTGATGCATCGGCGATGCGGCGTCATCCCCTGACCCGGCTTATATACGCGGACTCCACTTGGGGGGGGCCTCCCAATGGGGGATGAGGAATAACTAGGGGTGTGTGTTGTGTGCGTGTGGATACCAGAATTTCTCATGGCCCACGCTTCTTCTTTCGGGACGTTCCCTGCCACCCTCTCGTCCCCACATGCCTCGGGCCATGATGCGCTAACACCCCTCTTCCTGGAGTGCTAGCCCACGGCTAGCGGCTAGCGGCTAGCTCCAAGGGGACGGCGGAACGGTTTTCCCCCTTACTCCTGATGAGCACCGCCCCTCAACGTCGGCCACCGTCGCGCTCGGTTGCAAGCGGTCGACGAGATCAGCCTCGACCCTCAACCTCTCCACCCTCCCTTGCTGGATCGGCGGTGGAGGAGGAGGTCGCCTTTCGCAGAGGCCAGGGCCACGAGGCCGAAAGTCACGGGCCCACCATTTTTGTTGCCCCGAGTGCGGAGCCTATGTTGTGGGCCAGCACAGGAACCCGAAGTTGCTGGCTGCACCTGCGAACCGGGCCTCCTTTGGGCCCAGATGGCCGTGCTCGCTGAGGCCTCCGCCGTCCTCGTCGGGTCGCGGGGACGAGCGCGCGTCCGTGTCCTCGTCGCACGACGCCCCCGCGCCTCAAGGGGGCGGGCGTGATCTCTCCTCTCCCCCTCTGGGGGAGCTGGGAGGTGTTGGGGCGGGCGAGGCGGCAGGGCCTTCGGCGGCGTCGTCGTCGAGCGCCGTCGCTGTTCCGCCGTCGCTGTTCCGCCGCCGCCGCCGCCGCGGCGGCGGCGACGACGACGGGGCCGCGCCGCGCCCCGAGAGGCCCCTGGCCGCGCGCGCGGGCGCCGGCGGCGCGGAGCTGCTGCGGCTGGAGCGGCACGACTTCGAGCAGCTGCTGCCGCGGAGGCTGCGCGAGGCGGGGCGGGGCGGGGGGGGGCCGGGCACTGCCGCCGTGCGCGCGGCGGGGGGGAGGCGTTACATTATACCCCCCCCTGGCCCCGCCGCCCCCCCCCTCCCTATGATGCCCATTGTCGCCGAACGTAAAGAAGCGCGCTCACGTGCAGATGCCGCTCGCGAGGGCGAGGGCAGGGTGGGAGACGAGGAGGACGACGGCGGCGGCCGCGACGATGACGACGACGGCGGCGGGAGCGACCCCTACGAGGGCGAGGACAAGGAGGGAGGCGAGGACGACGACGGCGGTGTCGACGAGGGCGACGATGGCGACGAGGGCGAAGAGGGCGAATAGGGCGACAACGAAGATGGAGACGATGGCAACGAGGACGAAGATGTCGTCTCCGTCGGGTCTCGTCTCGCCTCTCATCCTCGTCCATCGCGCGCCCCTCCCCTCCCTTTGTGCGTCCTCTCCTCCTCCCTGCAGCGCCACAGAGGTGCGGTCAGGAACTTTGGCTCCGCGTGTCGCAGTGCCGGTTCTGGCCCACCTCCTCGCTTCGGTGCGACACGCTCATCTCGTCACGGTCCCCGAACGGCAACGTCCCGAGCTTTTCGAAGCTTCCCGCCCCGTGCAGCGGAGCGACATGCGGTCAACTCGCAGGGCACAGCATGTCGCCGCGGCCGCCGCCGCGACACGCTGGGCACGAGCTCCTGGCCGCATGCAGGGAGGCGCTCCGACCTCGAGGTTTTCGGACGCTCGGAGTTCGAGGTTTCCGCACGTCTTCGTCTCAGGAGGGAGAAACACACAGACACAATCAATCGTCGATTCCACAGAAAAGATGGGAAGATATGGGCAGCGGGGGGGGCGACAAAGACCCAGAACACATGGGAAACCATGGGGAGTCCTCTTATTCGTGTCTATTTAATCGCTTCGCTCATTCCGCCGGCCCTGGAGCGCTTTTTGGGGCCTCTTAGGGCCGTCTTGGGGGCTTCTTGGGGGCTTCTTGGGAGCGTCTTAGGGGCTCCTTGGCGGCGTATTGGGCTCCCCTGGGGCCTCTTGGGGGGCTCTTGGGGCCACCTTGGGGCGGGAGGGGGGGTAGTCGTTGGCAGCGCCCCCCTCGGAGGCCACGATCCTCGTGAGGGGTGGCGAAAAATAGCTTCCCCCCTGGGGATCACCCGGGGGGTCAGCCGGGGATCGGCCAGGGCACTTGTCGTCTGGGGCCCCCCAGGGGCCGCCCCGCGCGCGCGCGAACTAGAAATACTGTTAAGCAGTCACTGGAGATCTTAGCACGCCTCTGGCCCGTTGGGTCGGCGCATTTCTTTGCGTGTCCTTGGGCCCCTCTTGATCCTCGGCTGCGGGGGGGCCCCCGGCCTCGTCGGGTGCTCTCTCCCCGGCGGCTGCGCCTCGCCGGGCGCTCTCCTCGGGGGGGTGGGCCCGGCTCCCCCTGGCACGGCCGCCGGAGGCGCCCGAGGCATGATCCCACAGCCGCCTCCGGGGCCTCCTCCTCCTCCTCCTCCTCCTCCTCCTCCTCCTCCCCTCGGCCTCCTCCTCCTCCTCCTCCTCCTCCTCCTCTCCTCCTCCTCCTCCTCCTCCTCCTCCTCCTCCTGCGCCTCCTCCTCCTCCTCCTCCTCCGCCTCCTCCTCCTCCTCCTCCTCGGCCTCCTCCTCCTCCTCGGCCCTCCTTCCTCCTCCTCCTCCTCCTCCTCCTCCTCCTTCTCCTCCTCGGCCTCCTCCTCCTCCCGCTCCTCCTCCTCCTCCTCCTCCCTCCTCCTCCTCCTCCTCCTCCTCCTCCCTCCTCCTCCTCCTCCTCCTCCTTCCTCTTCCTTCCTCCTCCTCCTCCTCCGCCTCCTCTCCTCGCCTCCTCCTTCCTCCTCCTCCTCCTCCTCGCTCTCCTCCTCCTCCTCCTCCTCCTCCTCCTCCTTCCTCCTCCTCCTGCGCCTCTCCTCCTCTTCCTCCTCCCCCTCCTCCTCGGCCTCCTCCTTCTCGGCCTCCTCCTCCTCCTCCTCCTCCTCCTCGGCCTCCTCCTCCTCCTGCCTGCCGCAACCGCTGCGCGACGCGCGTCGGGTCACAGCCCTCCACCGCGCTCGCGCGCCCGCGGCCGCGGCCGCCGCGCGAGACGAGGGAGGGAGACCCACCCCCTCCACTAACCTGGCTCCTCTCATGCTCATAGAGGAGTGGGGGAGGGCCCTCGGGCCCAGCTCATCCCCCCCTCAGGGCCGCCAGCCTCCGCCTTCTACGGCGGGCGGCACGCTCACCCTGCAGGGGGGGCCTTCACGACCCAGAAGTAGCGGTCCAGCACGGCCCTCCAGTCGCAGTACTGGTGGTCGAAGGTGCTGGCGACCGCCCTGGCTGGTCCAGGTTGTGCTGCTGGACCCGCAGCTTCACATACTGCATCACGTCCGAGGAGTCGAGCGGACTGCCTCGAACCGCAGCGACCGACCTCTACGAGGCAACTGCCTGGGGGGTTTGATACTGGCAGCCGAAAAAAGACAATCCACTCACCGAAGGGCAAGTCACGCACGGTGCCCTCGCCAGCAGTCATGATGGAAGTCCTCCGCTGCAGCGCCGTACTCGTCCAGGGGGACGTATAACTGCACAAGGTCCGGGCTTATGTCGTCCCAGTCCGCGCCAGCATAATATGTGCGATCATTCCAAGCAGCTTGGAGGCTCAACGCCATGTGAAGTGATAATTGCTCTGGATATTCCTTCAACTTGGCTGTGAGGTACTTGCCCTGAATATCTCTTCCAATAGAAGCCAAGTGTCCAGTCATATGTGGGCAACGTCCTCTGTCTTCCCGAGCTCTCATAACTCTCCCAAAACTTGGGCATGCGATGGTGAGCACCGTAGTCGGCTTTTTAGACGCAGCTCCAAAGCAGCACTGGTCAAAAGTGATAAGCTCCACGTCTTTGAAGGCCAGCATTCTGCGTACCTGGGCCAGTGCCCAGCATGAGGCTGTACCTGGGCGCCAATTGCGCGCTGGGTGCTCCATCAGCATCGGGGTGACGGTCACAATGCAGACTGCGGCCAGTAGCAGGGCGGCCCTCATCAGAAGGTTGCCGAGTTGTACTTGCTGACGGTACCGCATGTCGATGTGTGGCATGCCCCATGGGTGGGTGGCCGATCTGAGCGGTGGTGGCCCCTGGTAATCGTCATTCAATGCTACGTGTCGAGCGCCAGACCACGTCTCACACGGCGGCGCAGCCACTACTCCGAGGATATATCCTTCTCGAATCATGGTAGCAAATGCCAATATCTGATCCATCTGTGTTAAATCTGCACGGCTATTGGAATTGACAACGTCTACTGATAACACAACGCACGGAAAATCTGTCATACCTTCGATCCAGTGTTGTAAATCCCCTCGTCGACGTCGCCCTGAAAATAAATGCAAAATATATTTTACCGTTGGAGTATGCAAGGGCGCTGGTGTCGGCTGCCGTTGTTGATCGTCTGGTTGGCGGTGTTTATGCTGGGCTGCATCGTCTTCTTCTCCGTCAGAAGGTCCGTCGAGCAGCTCCGGGGGAACACCTGGTGGTAAGAACTTTGGTTTAGCCATCTTAGCGCGACGTCGTCGTCCATCCCTTCTTGCAGGAATTAACGCTTTTGTAGCATGGTAACCTTGTCGCTTGAGTTCTGCAATGTGGGAGCGATCTAAGGCCATGAGCTTGTGCACCTCGTCGTCATCCAAGGCCTGGCACGTCTGACGTAGCGCCTCCAAACAAGCCTCGGAGCGGTAACGAAGGTGGGTGATAAGTCGAGGCCGTGTATGATGCTCCGTACGACAAGCATGACAATAGGTGGAAGCGGCATATCTTTGTGCGTCATCGATCCCATCGTGATCACGTTTGATATGTGCCAGAAGAACAGAAGCATTCTCATATGTGCGGCCACAGTGATAGCATACGACTGGTGGTCGCTCCGGAGGAGGTGGTACTGCAGCTGCCTCGGCTGCTTGCAGTACCTGTTCAAGTCGGTAATTCCAATCTTCGTGATGGTGCTGGTCATGTTGGTGAGCACGATACTTATCCCATACTTGCTTCAATGTCTTGCGAAACTGCTTCGGCTCGTGCTGGATGTGGTCGATCCAATCCTGGACGGTGCGGTGGGCGATCGCGTCCTCTTCGTCCTTGACTAGATGTCGAGCTACCCATTGGAAATCCGCAGGTAATTGGGCAGCCCATCCGTTCTTCGTTTTTGTGACCTCCCACGTGTGTTCCAGCATCGCCAGCAAAATCGTTGGCCCTCCTTCCAACAAGGCCGTCAGGTACCGTAGTCGGCGTAACCTCAAACATGCCATGATGGGAGGGCGATGAGCTTGATATAGTACATACTCATTCGTACGGCGGTGTCCATCATCCTGCGGCATGTGGAGCTTGAGGGCCGACCTGTACGAATAAACTTGGGCTGCTTCAAGGGTGTCGATCTGCTTGTTGCTTGGCGCCGGCCAAGTCTCGCTGTGGTATCCCAAGTGCACATTTGCGTACGCGTCTGCTAACCGCAATTTGGGCTCGCACTTCATCGTATTCAACTTGTTGACACTCTTGCGGACAGGGCCCAGCGCTTGCTTTTGCTTTTGCAGGTTCCGAGCAATCTGAGTACCAATGCACCCATCCTTGTCGATCTGCGTGCCCAGGTGCTTGTACTTGGTCTCAATAAAGACTTTGAGGTTATACTTATTCGTGATGATGTGGGGTTCAGGCATGGAGAACAGCTGCTGCTTGACCAAGTTCGCTCCAGCTCCGTGTAGGGTGGGAAGTAAAGCCGTCTTAGTACGCCTGTAGTTGATCTCGAAACCGTACACGGCCATCGCGCTGTGCACAATGTCCACGGTCCGACACATCTTTCTTTTCATTTCGTCTGCTCTGGCTTGGACTGCGAACAGCGCGTCGTCAACAAAGGACACATCCGACAGCACGGACTTCACGTCGCGTCCTTTCGTGAACCTAGGAGCTCCTTCAGGTGCTGGTGGAACTCGATAACACAGGTCTGCTTGTATCAGCGTACTTTCGGCTAAGGATAGTGGC